GGGGGGTTGGTCAGCAGGGAAATGGGAACCCTTTTCTGGTCCTAGAACTGGTGCCACTGGGAGGTCAGTGATGGTCACATTAGCCCCCAGCTGGGCTGAAGGGGACACTGCAGGGCCTGGGGGTGGAGGGGAAGGACGGCATCTTACACACAGGCTTCTCCCTTGGGGCCAAACCATTAGCAGAGTGGTCCTGGGTGAGTCAGATGTGGACAGCGAGGCCGAGGCGCCGTCAGGATGTCTGCTGGTTTCCAGATGGAAACCCGTTCTGGGAGCCGGCGGAAGCTGGGATCTGAAGGAGGCACAGTTATCTAGCCCTCGAGGACTAGGGCTCATGTGTCCATTCGTTTATTTCATGTTCTCAGCATTAAAACCCACCTCCTTACTCCTCAGGGCCGGCCTCACGGTGGGAGGCCTGTTGCCACTGTGCTCCGGTCTCGCCCAGCAGGCCGGCCAGGGCTCCGCAGGGGAAGTGCCTCCGGCCTCCACCCCAACAAGCACCCAGGACAGCAGCCCTGCAGTGGCACTAGGAGTCCTTGGGCTTCTGCTCCTTCCGGGCCCGGGAGGCCATGAGGCGGAAGAAGAGCGTGGGGGCCAGCGTTCGCAGGTAAATGGCCAAGGAAGGCGCCAGGCTGGCCAGGACCACGTCCTCCTTCTTCTTCGCCACGGCAGCCAGGACGTCTCGGGCCACGTCCGCAGGCCCTCGGCCCTGGGCGGTGGTCTCGTCCATAACTAAAGTGGACAAAAGAAACCTGTGAACTTGAAAGCACAAGTCCCTCCCGGCTGAGCTGCGTGGACCAGACCGTGGTGCGGTCAGCTCCCCAGCTTTTCCATGGTGCACCCACCATCCTAGCTCTCCTGCACCCAGGACAGGAGGACCCCTCCGTGGCTCAGGGTGTGAGCCGGGGTCAGAGACCTGTGGGCAGGACATGGGGACAGAGGTGGAGCCCGCCAGCGCTCAGGACCAGCCCAGGTGGAGTCAGAGGCAGGCGCTCACCACAGCCGAGGGCTTCCCGACCTTAAGAATCTGTGCCTTCGAAAGCACCAATGACTCCAGAAGGTGAGCCACCAGTCAGCATGGGC